CATTTGTTATCCTTTGTGCTTTAAATGAAAGAAAATGAAGCATACAAACCACAGTCATTCCCTTATCAAAGCAGCCTTTCAGGTTATGAAGCTTTTCCAAAACATATGGACTTTGTTGATTGATGGTTTTCTGAAATGATCCTAAAATGGCCTTCAAGATCAAAGTGGTAGAGGAGTATGTACACAGATACTTTAAAGTCTCAAAAAAAAAATCACAGTTTAAGAAATATGTGTGATATTTCACATTATTTTTACTTTCTGACCAAAGATTTTTTTCAGCATTTGAAGTCTCTAACATCTAATGCAGAACAGGGAACAGAGTAACTTACCACAGCTTATTTTATATGTTAAAAATATCATCAACTGTTGTGTACAATCATCTCTCTGAAATGAAGCTCTGAAATACACAGAGGTACAAGTCCTACCATAACCAGACTAAGCTGCTCTTTACACAAGGTTCTCCTGGGGTAAATTCTCATCCTAGAAGCAGCTTACCCTCATGATGCTATTCACCAAATTACCATTATTCTAATTTTACTCTTGAGGAAATACACGCAAGTAAGACAAAACATTTGTCTAAAACCATAGAGTCACTCAGTTGCGTTTCGCTGACCTGCATAAACTCAGCACATTGCTTTAATAAGTGGAATTAACTCTTTCTACATCAGGAGAAACTTCTTTCAATTTAATACTTTCCTAAGCAGAGCACATACTTTAACACACTGGCGCCTTTGCCAGAAAGCAAGACTGCTTTTGTGGGGTTTTTTCCCTTTCACCATTACAGTCTGGTCATATGCAAGTGGACTTCTGTCTGTCTGCAGGACTTCCAATAGTAAGAGGTTCTTGCAATAGCTGCACTCCCTGTAGGATATATACAGCAACTGGGGCAGCCTGTTCACAAAATAACTCATGATTATCAAGGAAGTACTCGGCAGCTATGACTGTATTATACCAGAGTACAATTAAAGACAGACATAGTTAAAGCATTGTAAAATAAGGAAGCAGTAGTTCTTAATAAAGCTGTTCAAGATTGGGAAGAAATTAGGGTCAAACTCATTTCCTTGGAGATCAGATAACTAGGTTTATTCCAATGAAGAACTGAAATAGCCATCTAAACATCTGCTGAGGACAGTCAGCTCACACACTCAGGAAAAGAGTGAATTTATTAACAAAACACAGCAGAATTAGAATGGTGAAAAGAATCACAGTAAGGGGAAAGCCAGAAATAAAAATCTAATTGAACTTGATTATTTGTACATAAAATGGATATGCCACTACACCAATAGTTGTATAAAGCATAAGCATTTCCATCTTTACCCCTCAGAATACAGCTGAAACACTCCTTCCCCTCCTAAATATACATATTACATTAATACCTGGCATGATGCTTCAGGGTTGAGTTCCAGTTTGTCTGGACCCTAACAAACATGTGGTCTTCTTCAGGCAATGTCTGTTCCTAAATGACAGAGCACAGGTTAGAAGTGAGATAGGAAAGTGCCTATTTCTGTTGCAGCTATGAAGAGGAGAAGGCTGTATTTTCTGCAACAAAATAATTACGCTAACACTCACAGCAGGCAATGGATTATCCTAATATTAGGATATACTCCAATAATGGCTGAATCATCATTGTTTTATGGCGGAGCCTCAGGGAGGGGAAAACATCGTTTTTGAGAAGATCTAGTTCTAGTAAATGAGTACCACAGAAGAAAGATCATGAAAAAAAAGCAGCAGCAGAGCCTTTCTTACACTGCTCTTTAAAAAAGTTATACTTTTTCACTCCATTCACTTGGCTTTCATAAACACTGCAGAGAAAAGATAAAAATCAGCAGTTCGCTCCAATTGTCTCACATGTGTTTACTTCAAAGGCACTTCCATTGGTTCTCTCCCTTTTTGAACAGACTGTTGTAAGTATCTTCCCAAAGTATGTACCCAGCATTGTGCTTTTAGAGCAGGTTTGCTCTGTCAGGTTGTAAAGGGGATCATTCTAGAGGATGAGCCAAACATGCCTTTTGCTTTCCTCGTCATGAGAGGAACTTCTCAAAATCCATAAATAGGTAGGTGGCTTGGAGTAGGCAAGGAAGAACAGATTCGATCTCCAAACCTAATTATCTAATATTACACTCCTGAGTCCATATCTGTGTCTAGCAAGGTTCACACTAAGATACAGACTACCTGTAGCATTCATTGCTGCATCCCTCCATAGGCTCTATAGATGTTCCATCCTTAAGTAGGCTAAATGTGGATTCAGAAGCATAAGCGTGGCCCATCATGCTGTATTTCATATGTCATTATATGTGTACTCATAACCAGGTCTTCCCACACACACGAAGTTTAAGGCCATGTATAGTTAATTTACTAGAGCAGGACCATAGTTCACTTTGTGATGCATGCACATTTTCTCTCTCTTGCATGTTTATACTATCAAGGCTTTAAGTGTTTCACAGGAACAACAAAAAGAAAGATGCTGTTGATTTTTCTTCTTCAGTTGCAGGGAAGACATCTTCATTGATCTTTGGTTTAATTTTAGAAGACATCAAGTTCTTGCAGACATACCTGTTGTAAGTACAATCACCAGCTGTCCAAAGCTGCCGCAGTAATTCTGCTGAAGAGGTTCAGACCTGGTGTTTTTTCTCCACCAAGGCAAGCAGCTGCACAACTTCACCCCTCACAGCCATAGGCAGAAACACAGTGTCTGGCAGCAGTAACCTTCCTACTCTGGCAATTCTCTCTCTCATCTACATGGGAGTACATGGCTCCATGTTGCTCTTCTTTCTGAAGAGGAATTCAGGGGAACCAGACTGCATCCCCATGGCTGCACATGTGTCCCAGGAACCAAGTACTTCTGAGAGAGCCCATCACAGGATCTGTCCACTTCGATACCAGACAGGGCACAGCCCATAGACAACTCATAGAAAACTAAAATGCCACAGGCACATCAAAGTTGAGCAAATGCTGTAAGTTACTAAAAGGGTTTTAAGTAAGAAACTTACTGCTACAGTATAGATTCATATTTTACTAACTTCCATGGTGTTTTGTTGATTGTGATAAGAACACAGGTGCTTCACCCACAACACTGCACATACCTTACATTCAGCTTCTCTTTGAGCTTAGAAAACCAGGTAACACTTAGTACTGATCAAGAACTACAAAGCTCATCAGGACCACCTTTAATACAGTCAGCACCTCTTCAGTTAATAATCTCAGTGACATACAGCGGTTGAGATGTTACAAATTTCTGTAGATCCACTGATTTCAATGATCAGACAGATCCCTTCAAATACATTTACATTTGAACAATCTTGATTTAGAAATGTCAGGTTAGTACTGCTCCATACTTCAGAATGCCTCTCTATGCAAAATCAAGCATACCCCAAGCTAACTGTGCAAATACTGTCTGCTGCAGTCACTCTACATTTTTAATAGGTCTCCTTTACTATCTCAAGGATGTTCCACATGTTCTGGAAATTAAAAGATGCTGTTTCAGGGTACACACACAGCAAGATGCACACGTGGCCATGCAGAGCAGCACAGCTGCATTCTGTATTTTCTATTCCCTGACAGGGACTGACAGTTAAGAGAGGTAGATGCATGCAGTCATTAATAATAGCCACACTAAAGTGATAGCCACCCTAGTGATAAACTCATGTACTGAATACCAGTAAAACTCTTCATCACCTTATGAAGTATTTCATACACATCCTCCAAGCAAAATAAATTCAAAATCCTTTTATTGCAGAAAATATCATAATTAGTAGGGGGCTTTCAAACTGGAAAACAGGTTGAGCTTTTGTATTTCAGCCTCTTCAGTTTCAGTATCTAAATATTCAGGATACCACGAAGAGTACTGTGGGCAGAAAACGGATCATGAATTATTGCCCAGTGCAAAACACAGAACAAGAGATGCTAACTGTTGACAGGTATTAATCATTTAGCTTAAGTAAGTTTCAAACAGAGTTAGTCACTTAAGAGTCATAACACTGCATGGTTTAGCATGCTGTTTGCTTATCTTTACTTGCTCAGCCTGAGTAGCTAGATTTGCTGAAGCCTTAGGCTGTAAGCCACGGACTTTCACCTAGGTATGGTTTTGGATGGAATTTTGTTAGTAATTTTTCTAGTAGTAAATTTTCTAGTAATTTCTACAGTGCTGTGTCTTGTCTTTAGTATGGGAAGAATGTTGACAACAGTGATGGCTTAGTTGTAGCTAAGTAACATTTATCTGAGGTCTAGGGCATTTTTAGTGTCTCTGCCAATGAGCACAAGAAGCACAAACGAGCAGACTGCAACGATGACCAGAAGCTGCAACTCAAAAAGATAAAAACAGTTAAGGGCCTGTCTGTGTGGAGACAGAGAAAAACATCCAGTAAGTGGTTAGAAGACCCCAGACCAAAAATCCCCATTGGACTGAAAAGGCACGCAAAGAGCCTGTAAGGGCAGGTATGTAAGTCATAAGGGTATAATTGCCCAAGGATTTCTTTGTCGGGGTCCCTCTCCAGAAGCACCCAGCTCTAGCTGTCCCCATTGCTGTACCACTGATTTTTTCCAAGAATCAAATGTCTGAGACTCTGCTGCAGGAAACCTCAGGCCCAGTGTGAAGGAGAGGAAGTACACCAGAAAGTGTGTGTGAGCTAAGGGTCAAAAGGGGCAACATCCATCAACTCACTGAAACGGACTCCAGGCCTAGCCATTTTAACTCTCAGGTGGTGTCTTTAATGGTGTATAAAAGCTCTGGCAGCAGCTTTTCCCCTAAGACCACCAGCAACTTGGAAAAAGACTCCAAAACAATGAACACTAAGGCAGCCTGAAGTGAAACTCCTAAAAACCAAGATGATGAGCAGAAATAGAAGCAGGAAACCTTACTTATTTTGTTGCCACATGCACAACAGTGTTGATATTAATCCAAGAAAGTAAAACAGACAATGAAATTTTCCAGATCCAGAAAAACTGAAGTAGCTACAGGTGTTGGCAAGAAAAACACAGAGCGCTTTTTTTTTTTTCCTATTGTTTTTAATACTTGGGTACATGAGGGCTCTGACAAATCAATATGTTACCTATGCAGTGTATTTAAATTACAGAAATTCAAAGCCAGTAAAACCAAAGACCCAAGTGCACTCCTAGGTGGACTCCAGTATTTCACAGTGTGTTTCTCATGCCCCACAAAGAGCTCATATGCCAAGCCCTTTGTTCGCCAGCATTTACAGAGTAATTCATTATATTGTCCAAGTGTCACTATTTCTTCTTGAGAGCTCTTTTTCCTTCTCCCTTCTTTGGTTTTTCCTTCCCACGGAGCTTTTTCAGTCGCCTCATCTCCTCCTTAAAGTCCTGATGCTCATCCCTAGATGGGGGAGGAAAGCAAAAGAAGTTTACTCTATTTCTTGACATACCCAGATGTGAAAGGTTCTTTGAACTGTATGGTAGTGAAAAACAAAAAGCTTTGCTTAACAGTGAAGTCCATAATGAAACTCACTGCAGTATGTTCAAAGTTACTGCTAGCAGTAATTTCAAACTGAGTAACATAAAAGATGCCTTCTGGTACTTTCACAACTAACAAGGTTGCCCTTTTTTAGTAACAAATGGTGTGTGCATATATATATATATTATTTCCATTGCATTTGTTGATCCACTGCCTTTTAAATGAGCAGTAAATATAAAATCAGCAAAGCCAAGAATAAAAATTTTCCCCTTTTTATTTAGCTCAGCAGTCTAGTAATAGCACATTGTGTTTCTGTGCTAGATACTACATTTGGGTCATTAGCTTCTAAGAAAATGAGCATGCTGAGCAGTAATTACAATACATAACACTGCTCTCAGGTGACTTCAAGAATGAGTTATGAAGAAAGCATCAGCTACTGATACAATCTTAATAAGAGAATAAAACAGGAAGGAGGATGAAGGGGCTGGAAGAGATAATGAATCCTCAATAATGTTCTAATAAACTATTTAATCTCTGTCCCTGTATTTTTCAGTGGGAAGGTATTTTTCACAAGTCACAACTGCGTCTTAATGGCCTAAGAGCACTGTGCTGGTATTTTTAATACAACTCTTCTAAAAAGGAGACAAAAAGCTTGAGAGTTATCATCAAGCCCTACTAGTCTATAATTCTTCATTACATACTTCTGACCAGCAAACCAGATCCTCTACAAGCTCTCTGTATACAGAGCAGCTAGAGAAGAACTTTGACACTAGAAGAGGAAAGAGAAAAGAAAAATAGCATGTCCTTGAGGTTTTCTGTGTCAACAGACAGCTACTCTAGAAAGTGTTTGCATGCCCACCTAAATCAAGAGCATCCTGGATGCAATCCCTGATGGCTACTATTACGACACTAGCAATAGGAATTAATATGTTTTGACTTTACAAGGTTAGTAGCCTCACTCTTAAGGGATTTCTTTAAGGCTACCTGACTGAAGTCAACTGCATTTGACTCCTGCCGATGAGTTTTAGCAGTGCAGTGCAGTTTTTCCTACTTGAGACTGTGGAAATTCATTTAGAAATTAAACAACTGGTTTGGATGAAGCTGGAATTAACAAGGCTATTTAAAACACATCTGAGTTTCATTTAACTTATTTTAAAGGCTAAAATGCCCCTCCAGCCTGACTTCCCTTCTCTTCTAGATTTCACTCATTAGCTGTTGAATGATTGAGGAATATATGGTAAGACTGTCTTAGTGCAATTTTTGCATTGAGGTAACACCACCTCTTTGCAGCTCATTCATGTGCCGTATTTTGAACTACAGACCCATTTCTTGTCTATGAGAAAGCTCTCTTCCCCACAAAGCCAAAGCAACACCTATTTCTTATATCACTGGTTGCTCGTAACTACACCTAAAGTCTCTCTCACCAACGGTTCTAGCTATGATAGTTACCTAGGCAATAGTCACTTATTTAACTCTCCTTGCCCTCAGTGCAACAATCAAGTGCATATTTCCATACATACTTTGAACTAAACTTTTTTCTAAGGTTTATCTTTTCCTTGAAGAAAAAAAAAAAAAGGCACAAAACTGTAATAGAACTCACTCCCACCCCTTTCCCATCTCCAATTCTCCTCCCATCCTTGTAAGCACAGAGATTACCTGTAGAGGCCGAAGTAACGCAGCTTCTTCATCAGGGCATAGTAGGTGTTATGAGGAGGATACCAGTCATAGACCTCCTCCCTCTTGGCCAGAGGCTGCTCACTGAATAATTTTACTACTTTCATAGATTTTGAGTCAGTAGGCCTGACAACTTCTCCAAATATCTGAGCACTCAGCCGGGCCATTCGAAGGGCGTAACTGGAAACATTGGACATCTCCTAAGGTGAAACAGGCACACACAGGCAGGAGAACCTTCCTGCAAAAAGAAACACAAAATATGTTTAACTCTTAAGATGGCTGAGTATTGCAGGCTATTCCAGAATTGAGACAAACAAAATTATCATACCCAGATCACACGTCTGAAGTCTACATTCCTTGCATGAAATCAGTCTTAATTCTGACTACATAATCCTGCATATAAAGAATGTCCACACTAATTCAGGTACAACTACCAGACTAGCTAGGACACCACAAACAGTAATATGGACTATAAAAGTACCTACACCATGGCTGGTTTATTAGCAGATCCCACTCATCTTGTTTAAGGCTACCTTTAAACTCCAGTCACAGGAACAATTACAGCGTGTACTCTACCAAACATGGTGCCCACTGTGATGCCTCTGACTTATACACAGGCACAAGGTAAGAGACAGCTCAAACATATTGAGGGAGCAACCTGGAAGTTTTTCCTCATGAAAATGTGTCACCCTATTTAAAACACTGCATGAGCATTATTACAGTCCATTTAGAAAAAATAGCCTATTAACTGTAAAAATGAAATAAATTATGTTTTGCTGTATGAATAGCACAGATCTTTCCCATCTCCATTCCCTTCCCTTGGTAACTTCCATCAGCTTTGTTTCCATTCTCTTTTATGTCTCTCCTGATATCTAATCTTCTGAAGAGATGAAAGAAATCATTTCCCTATGCTATTCTTTTGCCAAGAAAATCCCCCATCAGCAGCTTCCCATTCTCTTTCAGCCATCTCCAACTTAAAGACACTTCTCAACAACAATACTCTGAGCATAAACCCATTGATATTAGGCCACCAGAAACAACATCTGCTTCCTCTTAAAGGAGTGCAGAGAAGGGTTTTCTCTCAGCTTTCCTACCTCTCCCCATTTTTTCACTTCTTTTACTCTTTCTTTGCAGAACAGGATGCAATGAAGACAAGAGTCCCCTAATCCTATATTTGAAGTTGTTTGTTGCCTGTACTGTGCCTTTTTGAATAAATGATAAACATTAAGTCTCTAGAGAAATCAAATGGGCTTTGTTCCAAGCACACTACACTGATGCTAAAAGTTTAAAATTCTTGTTTGAGGCACAGCTGATTCCAGAAGATTAGCGTAAAAAAAAGAAGTAAAAGAGTGTGGACAAGACTACTCAACAGGACAGGGCTAAATCCATTTTAGCATGATCACAAGGGGCCTGTTGTTTAACAACACAAATCAGAAGTATTCATAACCCCACTTACATACATCTGCCCACTGGATGTACAATTGCCTACTTTTGATTTACTCCTGTTAGCAAAGGACTAGAAATAAAACAGGAAAAAGAAAACCTGTATGAAAATAATGCAAGTATGAAAATAATACAAGTAATGCAAGTACGTAAGTATGAAAATAATACAAGTAATCTGAGTCAAAGAGGATAATGGGAAGAATAACAAAACGGAAATCAGTGTCAGACCTCAAGTTAATGCAGCAGGAATAGTGAGAGAAGACAGAAACTCTTAAATGACTGCAGGGCAGCACTTCAACTTGAGCACCTATTCCATGGGGGAATGATCAGTAAGTCTTGCTAAACCATCCCTTTCAGCACAGCCAGTCCCAGTTCCTACACTCAGAGGTAAAACGCCAAATTGTCCCCAAAACTTTTCATTACATCATCACTCTGAAAGTACCGCCAGACTCAACACAAAGCTTGCTTAATCTCTTCCAACTGCAGCCTTAAAGTCAAATTGCCTTTAGCTCCTAAATGATGCAAACCAGTGGGCTGAGGGATCTGCTTTTCACTTCAGAATCGCTAAACAAGTATATACAGCCCAAGCTGTATAACTCCTTTAACCCTTGCCAGCCTAACAACGTTTGAAATAGAAAAAAGGTGAAGGCTATGAACTCTTAAGTGCCAGAGCTATCCAAAAACCTCTTCTGGGACAGCCTTTGGTTCTGTGAGAATATACCAGAACATTCCTGTTCTCATCGCTTACAGCAACGATATTTTCAGGATCACCTACTGGTAATGCACACAGTGCTGCTTCTTCACCTGTCCCCCTCTCCCTACTGCTACCCAAAGCCTTGCCTTCCCATCCTAGGCTGGGTTTTTACTTCCCAATTTGCTGGCTTGCCTCAGACTGCTTCCTTCTCACTCATCACGGAAAACTCCGTTTCCAGAACTACTTTTGATTTTCCCAGACCACAGAAGGAAATGCAGGCAGCCCCATGCCACCGCCCGGCCAGGGGGGTGTAGCAGGCGAGGCAGGGTCCCCCACAGCCCTCCAGCGAACCCCGCCGCCTCCAGCTCCACGGCCTGGCTCCCCTCCGGGAGAACAAGCTTGGAAACCCACCCGCGATCTGCAACCGCACTTCAGGGTGACCGCCGCCGGCGGCTCCCGGGTGACAGAGGCCTGCGATACCCGCCCAGCAGCCCCAGTGTCCAGAACACGGCGCAGGCTGGGCCGAACCCCCCAGAATCTAGCGCGGAGCCCATCTCCCCCTCTCTGCTCCCGGGCAGCACTCCACAACCCTCCGCCCTCCCCGCGCTAACCCGCGGGCGGCGCAGAACAGCACCGTACACCGGGGCTGGAGGGCCGCGACGAAGGCCTCCGCGGCGGTGCATGCGCAATGGCGTCCCCGCTGAGGCGTCGCGGCGGGTGACGTCGGGCTCCGTGAGGCGGGACGGCCGTTGAAGGGGGCCGTTAACCCTTTTCGCCAGGTTCAGCCGGTACCTGAGTACATGGCAATTACGGTGTTATATTTGTAAGCCAAATGTGTAACGTCATCAAAGAATGAAAACCGGGTTTGGCTGGTTGGGTGTCTTTCTAGAAGAGCTGACTGGCATTAAATAACATTTCTTAGTCCTTGCTTGGTTTTCCCTCACCTTTTCCATGTTCGCTTTGGCCTAGGCACCCTCCTCACTTCTCTTTGCCTTTTTTGAAATAAGCGTGATCTGTCATTTCTCTCAGTCCAAGATTTAATAAAAATTAACATTCCTGTGTTATTTTTAGCCAGTTTTCCAAAGATTGCTACACAAAGGTTCTTTAGATAGCCTAATTTTAAAATGCTTCATATCACACAATCACAGAATGGTTTGGGTTGGAAGAAACCTCAGAGGTCATCCAGTTCCACCCCCCTGCCATGCGCGGGGACACCTTCCACTAGACCAGGTTGTTCCAAGCCCCGTCCAACCTGGCCTTGAACACTGCCGGGGATGGGGCAGCCACAGCTTCTCTGGGCATCTTGTACCAGTGCCTTACTGGGCTCACAGGGAAGAAATTCCTAATGTCTAATCTGCGTCTCCTCTCTTTGAGTTTAAAGCCATTACCCCTTGCCCTGTCATTACACGTCTTTGTTAAAAGTCCCTCTCCAGATTTCTTGTTGGCCCCTTGTGGTACTGGAAGCTGCTCTGAGATCTCCCCGGAACCTTCTCCAGGCTCAACAAACCCAGCTCTCTGAGCCTGTCTCCGTAGCAGAGGTGCTCTAGCCCTCTGAGCATCTTTGTGGCCTTCTCTGAACTCACTCCAAATGGTCTACGTACTTATTGTGCTGGGTGCCCCAGAGATGGACACAGGCCTGCAGGTGGGATCTCATGAGAACAGAGTAGAGGGGCAGGATCACCTCCTCGACCTACTGGACACACTCCTGTTGACACAGCCCAGGTTGGTTTTGTGGGCTGCAAGAGCACACCGCTGTGTTATAGTAAGCTTTGCCATCTTATATTGAACTTAATACTTGTTCTAGTAGGCTTTGTTTATCATCTCCGTTACTCTCTAATGTACTGAAAAGTGCTACTTTTTTTTTTTTTTTTTTACTAGATAATAAAGTACCTCTTCCGTAATCTTTCTAAGGACAGAAGAAAGTTTTTACTATTTTTGCCAGTTCTGTGCTATTTTACCATGTCTATCTAGTTGTACACCTCAGCATTACTGTACTCCCCATGTTACTATCTGTAGTTCATCACTCATGCATTTTCTGTGGCCTGAATTTTTTGCATACTCCAGAACATTTTTTTCCTATGGTTTTGGCTTTCCGCATTGTCCTATGCCAGCCTTTTAACTTTTGAGTGTTTCTGTCATCCTGCTGCTGACCCAAAATTGCCCTTCAGCCAAAATTGTCCATTTTGTTAATTAAGCAATCACCATGACTTTTAGACTATGGAGTAAGATAGTAAGAATTCAAAGTTACATTTCTATCTCTATTTTTGAATCATAGTTTTCTCATAATTCCTCTTATCTTGATGGAGATCGTCTTTCTGAAGCAACTCTGTGTGTGTAGGAGAATATTTCTCCAGCTGGGATTGTCCTTTTTCACTCATTATAATCAAACTGTGATTGCTGGCTCTTAAGCAACCACCGCGGGTTTGTCCCATGATTAAAATTTTTAACATTAGGAGTTCCAAAATATTTTTTCCATATAGACTGGAATAACTTCTCTCATAGAAAATAAGTTTTAGAAAATCTAAGAGCTATAGCTGCTGAATATTTGGGATGTTTTCCTCATACAGCTCCAAACTGAGGACACTTCTTGTGCACTGGAAGAGTAAGCAATCTGACTCCGTAGCCATTTATACTCCATTCCACCCTTCTTCAGTGGGGTTAACTGGGCCAAGTTACTGCCTCTGCATTTCTGAAATAATGGTGGTGGTTTATTACATACTGTTACCCTCTTACATCTTCAATTTTCTTTGTTTAAAAGGATTATGGGAAAATATTTTCTATATCCTAATTGGGTAAATCATCCTGCCTGTTCCAGTAATTACCTCAGTTTGACCTCATTTCTCATCATCAATTAAAATATCCAATTCTTCTTGCATGTTGCCCACACTTAGAATCTTGACCACTGAAAAACATCTTATTTTCCTCAAAGTATTGATTTACCTAAAAATGGACCCAGTAGCATGGTTCTGGTTCTATTTCTGTCTTTCTGCAACTTTATCACCCTGGGGTCTGATTGTCTGAAGTTATTCTTCTGAGCTTCAGGTCAGAGACATTTAGTGGATTAGGCTGAGGTGAGAACTATGGCTCTTCCTGATCAGGGCAGTAGCAAACTGACTTTCTCATTCATAGTTACACATCACAGGTCTGGATCACTAGGAAAGAGTCATAATACAAAGATTTTCTCTTTGGAAACCACCATTATTGGCTTTGTAGGCTCCAGCGTGGCTCTTTTGGCGTGATGGAAGCAGATACATCTGAACAATTAGTGAATTTCTTCTGGCCTTTTTTCCTCTAAAGTCAGTTGTTTCTCCTGCAATAACAAATATTATTAAATCTGAGGTCAACAATGAAATAAAAACGTGTACTCACAGGAGCATTTTTTTGTTATTATATCCCTGTTGTTACTGTGGTTATGAGGTGCAAAGCACCCAGCCAGGGTGAGTGTGCTAGCCAGTAAGGCAGTGTACAGACACTCAGGAAAGAGTATCAAGGTCGCAACAATCAACAAAGTGACAACACATCTGCAGATTTGCAGAGGCAGAGCATGGTCTGTTCTGCAATCCATGCAGCCATAAATGGCCTTGTGCACCCCATCTGACTGTCTGTATATCCCTGGATTATGCCAGGGTGTTGAAGCTCACTGGGGAATGTGCTTCATCCGTGGAGTACACTGTCCAAGGCTCTTTTCCTGAGATGATGGTCATTTTGAGAACAGGTTAGACAGGCCAGCCTGGCTGCCTAGAGTACATCCCTGGGAGTAATTAACACCAGCAGGATACTGGTGGCTGCGCTCCTGTTTTAGTTGGTAGCTATCTTCAGGATGACAGCTGAACTGCTGTCCAAGCTCTTTATTTCTGTGCTTCCAGTCACAGAAGGTACTGCTTTGATAATTTTTTAGTTATCACTATGGGGAAATAACAGGTGTGGACAACATTTATGTTCCACTACTTCATCCCTGTGAAGCTTATCCACCTTCATGCTATTGCAGAATGGTGGGGTAAATATGGAGGTGGGGTGCACGAGAGCTAGACCTCCAGTTCCTGAAGCTGGTTGTATCTAGACTGCTATGCAAAGCCACCTGTCTAATCAAACCAATGTACTACTATTTATGTAGGATAGTAAGTGTGTGTGGAGTGTTTCAGACACATAAAATGAACGTTCCCGCTCTGAGGTTTTCACAGTCCTCATTACATTTGACATGCTAAAGGCATGACCTGTTATGTTGATAACAGGGAATGGAAGGAAGCAGCAGAAGCAGACCATAGGAGCAGGATTGTGGTGAGCTGAATTCTGTGGATGTGTTGTTAGACCTTCCTGAGCTTTTTTGTTGTAAATAGAGCAAGGTGTTTGGACTTGTCAGCAATTATTTAGAGGAAAATCAGTGGCAGACAGGTGAGTAAAAAAGGTGTAACCCTAGAAAGGAGTTAACGTGAGAGTGAGTTGACATGGGGCTGGGAGACAACATGAGCATTCTCTGCATAGGACTGTTGTGAAGGAAGAATTAAGGGAGTGGAGAGACATGCATGGAGCACATCAGAGTAGCAAAAAAGAGGAAGAAAGCTCATGATAAAGCATAGGGAAGTCCTTTTTACAAATTGTTGGCAGTAATTTGGTCTGGAATTATTTTATTTGATCAATAGTGATCTGGAATTACTTATCTGGTTAATTCCTCTTGAGTATGTATTTTAGTTATAAGTGAATGTTGAATAGCCCTAGGGCAGCTTCTTGACAAAATGCAACACTTGAGCCTCTGTGAGTTTCTTAGAACTATCATGTCATGCTGTAAGACAATCTAACATTTTCTTGTTACAAATATTGACGTGAGGGAATGAAATCATTATCTGAGTCAAGTAGAAGGACCTCTGAGCATCTGGTAAAACTACATTGGCTACGTATGTGTTTAGAATACATTTGTTATTCTTCTTTTATGTGAACATGATTAATTGGTGAACTTCAATTGCATTTTGTTGAGCAGGATTCACGCTAAGCCATGGAGATGTCCAGCAATGCAAATTGCTCTGGAGGGCATGTCTTGTTTTAAGACATTGATAGACTCTAGGTGGACATTCGAAGGCTATTTTGACTTTAAAATAACTCTTCAAACCAACACCACAGAGTGAAATCTGCTTATATACTGCTGCTCCGGCTAAGTAACACTGGAAACACTTGGGAGGGAGATGCAGCATAAGAGAAAAATAGGAATTATTTTTCAAAGCCAGTTGGCATGTTGAGTTTATTGCTTTCCCAGTCAGCCAGGCTGTTGAGTCAGCCTTCTTGCCTCCTGGGGAAAGAGAGCAAGTGCTCTTCCTCTCTGTCAAGATGATATGATATTGACAGTTCTCCAGAAGAACTGTAGCATGTCCATTTTTAATGGAAGGCGAGCTGTTTGCCGTGAAGCTGAACAGGCAAGTGAGGGGAGGATACTGTAAATCTCCACACATTTACATTGTCATTTAGACTGACTAATCTGTAGTTCAACGATATGTCAGAAAAAATGATCAGTGATAGGTGTAAATGAAGTACTTAGGACTGAAGAGAAGAAATATTTCTTAGTTGTTAGATCAAGAGACTGG